AATTATAAATGATGAAAGAATTCAGATAAATAATGAAAAACAAGTTTGATTCGAAAGGTGTGCCTGTCGTCCTCAATGTGTTTGAAAGAATCTTCGCGGAAAATTCTTGCATTCTTTCCCAACATGAATATGTCAGTTGTGAGGAAAACGTACAAAGTTTCACGCAAGAAGATTCAGTTTCCGAAGAGAAACAAACTTACGAAAACCACACTCTATGGACAGTCGAGGGTAGGTTGGGCGGAAACAAGGGAACGCATGGAATGAAATGCGCCTTGGGGGCCACAGCGTTCAAATTTGGAGAATGGAGTCAAAACGATCGATAGAATAGGATATATCAGAAAAGAAAGAAATGCAGAAATGCTTTCGTCATAAGTGGAAAGGCCAAACAGAGTTCCTCGTGCATTTGCTCTAAGAACCAGGTACAAGCGTTTTCACCGTCATCATTTGTGACAGATGTACTGCGGAAAATTCAACGCGTAACAGTCTTTTAGGTTTTCCGAGTTGTTTACCAGGTGAAATGCAATTTTTTGTGAATGATGCTTGTTTTTCTTGAGCCATACAGGTTGTTACATGGAACTTATATTATATATAATTTATGTATAACTAATTTTTATATATAACCTATATTATATGTAATTTTTTGTTCCTTTTGTTCTTACCGTTAATCATGGGTCTCAAGCCAGTGATTTATGGGTTAGATTCATAGAATCAGATTTTTCTGTGGAGGATGGCTTTAATATATTTCGCAGCATGAGAAATAGCAGACAATAAACGTGAACTTCAAACTTCACAATTCCACTAAAAAGAAGCAAGTGAAGCAGCATCAAAGCAGAAAAAGTGAGAATAGCATCATACATGAGAGCAAGTTGAAGTAAAGAGATCAAATTTTCCTGAGAAAAAGTTATCACATGCATTTTGTTAAAACCGGGCCATTCCCGAACAAACCTCTGCTTGTTATGGGTAGCCTGCCTTTCCACAACAAGGAATAATACTGGTGAGCTTCTCTGAAAATAAACGCTGGTGGGAGCAGTCTTTGTTAGGGTCGCCGTGGGGTGGTCTCGGGTCCTAACAGGGTTAGCATCGAAGAAAAAGTCGCTTTAGGCACCAAAGCACATCAACAAATGGCAGAAATACGCGGGTCAACATCTTTTCAGAAAGAATGGGACGGATACGACAAACAGAGCTTTTTAAAATTGTGCTTTGAAATGCCATTTGTGGTGAGGCGATTAAAAATGGAATAATTTAGAGGTGTGCTTTGATCTACCACTTGAAAACATGAGTACGTAGCCATCACTAACGGAAAGGACACCGCCCGACAAAAAACAGAGGGGATTTGTTTTTCAACTTGAGCCGCAGCCGCTTACCAGGAAGGACTTTGAACTTCCCACTAAGCTTGAACAGAGACCCAGACAAAGCAAAATATCAGGGTTAAAATATTAGTCACAAAAATGGAAAACAAATCCGGTACGTGAAATGTCCAAGCAAGTTGCGAGAGATTAAAGCAACAATTCCATATCGAATTCGCCGGGTAAAAGCAGTCGATAATGAAGTTTTAGTGAGTCAACTGCTGATGGGAAAAAGGTAAAGAAAACCGCCAATAAAACTTTGAACAGGCCTCCCGTGTTCCCCTTTGAAGCGATGGAAGGGGCGTGTCGGACGAGCTGTCCGAACCAGGTCAACCGTCACGTTGGACCGATTTCGAAAATTTTACGACCCCCTCTCCCCTTCTAGAGGGCCTCGATACGACCCCCCCCCTCAGGGTCAACCCTTCACCACCCTCGCCTGCCATCGCCATCATGGGGCTCATTCTATAGTATTCGACCAGTCGACACAGCCCAAACTCCGCCCACTTTTTCCTCCAAAATTACCGTCGAGCGGGGGGGGGTATATACCTACCACGAAACCGCAAACATCCTCTCACTTTCCCTCTATTTCACCAACATTTCCACTGCAACATTTTCTAGGGGGGGGGGTCA